CTCTGAAATCCCTCTTGGGATGCAGTATTGCTTTTGGTTCACTATTTTCCTAGGTGGGGGAAGTTCTAATGGCTTCCACTTGGCCTTTCTTACCATAATAGCCCTTATTGCACTTGTCAGGGATCCAATGTGGGTATTATGCCAATTGCTGAGAATGTCTATTCCAATTATACATTCTAGGGAAATTACTACAGGTTGAGTTCTGGGTCCCACTCTCAGACAGAACTGGGCTAAGACTATAGTAATAACTAGACCTCCATACATCCCCACTCTAACTGGTGGGCCATAGTGAGTCTCCTGGAATTAGGGTCAGTTCAGAGCCAGTGTCTAATAATCCCTCAAAAGACTGATTATTTCCTTTTCCCTAGTGAATAGTCACTCTCATGAAAGGCTGTAAATCCCTTTGGGGAAAGGTGGGAGAAAAGCTAATGGTATAAATTTTGGGCAGTATAGAAGGGTCCTTCCTCAAGAGGACCTAGCCTCCCCTTCATTCAAGGGCTTGTAGATCTGTAAACTTGAAGTCTGGGAATTGATTAAGGGGCTGTGACTCTCTATTCTAGTTATTCAAGTTAGACTGATGTTCACTTGACCTAGAATTCTACTTATACAAATCAAGTACATATTTAGCCAATTTCCCATCTGTTTCACTCCTAAGGACACTAGGACTAAATAGCTGGTTAGTGCCTAAGGCACTTGATCACTAACCAGAAGGCTGGTGGTTCAAACCCACTAGCCACTCCTTGAAAGGAAGGTTGGGCAATCTATTTCCGTAGTGATACTGCCTCAGAAATCTAAGGGGGGGTCGCTATGAGTCAGGTCCGACTCGACATCATATAGCAACAACAACAATAAGTAGAACTGTTCTGATTACTGCTTTGACTCTTCTGCCCTTTGGTAACCATGCCACCTTGTCTTTGGCAGCTAAGTGCTGCTACTTGGTTCCTACCACCTTGGAGTCCAGTCAGCCCCATTATAATTAGGTATCTTAATTCAGTTAGGGCAGTTCCTACTGTCAAATCTGACTTACATAGAATAGCTGGAACTTCCTTCACAAATGTGTTCCTCACTGTTGTGGTCAAAGATGTACCTTCTGGGTACTCCCTATGTAGATCTGTGGGTCTAACCTTATAAATGCATTCTAACATGCTAATTTCCCTAAGCCTTTGGATACTTTCTTCTAAGGCAGGTGTGGTATTTCAACTTGATTTATTGTAGGTCACCTCTTAATAAATGCTTCAGTGAACCAATCAAACTATTAGATCCTTTTCTAACCTCTCAAGCTGAAACACTGAATGAAGAATCTGTGCTTAGTGGGCCCATATCAATAAATTCAGACTGATCCAGTGTTAATGTTCCTTGTCACCATTATCCCATACCCTTAATAGTCACTCCCACACATATTCCCCAGGTCTCTGTTTGTATATATTAGAAAAATCAAGCAGTTATTTTGGAATGTAGCATACCTCTTCCTGGATCACATTTAGTACTTTACCTTTGTGGGCTTTCTAGGACTTAAGTCTAGTATAGGTCTGTTGTTGTTGTTGTTGTTGTTGTTGTTGTTATGTGCCGTTGAGTCAAACCCGACTCATAGTGACCCCTCCTTGGGTTTCCGAGACAGTATCACTACGGAAGTAGGATTGCCCAACCTTCCTTCCGAGGAGTGGCTGGTGGGTTTTGAACCGCCAGCTGTCTGGTTAGCAGGCAAGTGTCTTAGCCACTATGCTACCAGAGTATAGGTCTAGAAGCAAAAATAGGTGCTAGAGGTGGATCCTGGGGATGGATATTCAGCAATGTCTTGTAAGGCATCTACCTCTGGCAATGCCCCAGAACCCATCACAGGTGGTATCTCAAAGACTTTTCAGGTACAGCTGGGTTAATCTCATCAGATATATATGGAAGGGATAATGATTTTGGCTTAGCCGACAAACATAATCTCTTCAGATGGGAGTAAGAGAACTAGTTTTGTTGGCAAGAGTGATTCAGTAGAATTTAGGGGCTTAAGTGTCCCCAGCTTCCTGATTGTTTGCCTATACAATCCCCATCCCAAGTTTCAGTATCCCACTTCTTCCCAATCAATGCCCTCACTTTAGCTTCAGACACAATTTAAGGTTGGGAATTCAACTGGCATTGTAATTCAGCCACTTTTATAATAGGATTCTGGGTTTGGTTTTTGGCAATATCAGCTATGTTACAAGAAATAAGTCTTTCAGGGCAAAATATCAACTTTCAGGTCTTTTGTGCAGTTCGTGAACTGTGATTTTGAAGCCCAGACCTCATCTCTTTCACCACTTTGTCTAGCAAAAGCAAGACCAACCAACCAGCCTCCCTATACTTCTCAGTTGGATGGAACTGATGAAAGGTGTCAAGTACATAATCACCCCAGAACCTTGTTTCTCACAAATACTTAATCCGGTGGAGGTGATACTGTATGTATTTCTCCTGCCACCTCATGCCTACCAGAACTAGAGTCATCAGTGTATTTAGGTTTAGTCAGACTTGAGAACCAATTCAGAAAACTCATCCTTAAGATTTTGTCCACTATCAGTTCCACATGTCTTAAGCTGTATTTCCTAGAGTTACAAAGCCAAACTCACTGCTATTGAATCAGTTCCAATTCATACCGACCCTCACTGAGTTTCCAAGGCTGTAAATATTTACAGAAACAGACTGCCCCATATTTTTCCCACAGAGCAGCTACTGGCTCAAACCACTGACCTTTTAGTTGTTGTTGTTAGGTGCCATCAAGTCAGCTCTGACTCACAGGGACCCCATGTATAACAGAAGAAAACACTGCCAGGCCCTGCACCAGCCTCACAATCCCTGCTATGCCTGAGCCTGAGCCTATTGTTGCAGCCACTATGTCAGTACATCTCATTGAGGGCCTTCCTCTTTTCCAATGACCCTTTACCCTCTACTTTACCAAGCATGATATCCTTTTCCAGGGAATGGTTCCTTCTGACAACATGACCAAAGTAGGTGAGATGAAATCTGGCCATTCTCTGACCTTTTGATTAGAAACCAAATACCTTAACCACTACACCACAAAAAAAAAAAAAAAAAAACCTCACTGCCATCGAGTCCATTTGACTCATAGTGACTCTTCCTTGTGTTTCCAAGGCAGTATCTCTATGGAAGTAGATTACCCAATCTTCCTTCTGAGGAGCAGTCAAATGCCTTAGGCACTAATGCCACCAGAGCTCCTTATAAATATATAGAGAGAGATTTATCTCAAGGAAATGTCTCGTCTCATGCAGTTGTGTGAAGAAGGCTAGCAAGTTCCAAATCTGTGGATCTGGCATCAGGCTGGAGCCTTCTCCTAATTCACATGTTTGCAGTAGCTGACAAATCCCAAAATCTCCAGGTCAGATGACAGGCTGCTGCCTTGCATTCTGAGAACCTGAAGTCAAAGGATGATGAGTCAGATGCAGGATCAAGAGAGACTGAGCTTTACCAGATCATTCATATATGTTGGATGTAGCCCACACCCCAGGCAAATTGACTGGCTTTTTAACTGGCTGTTTATATCAGACCCACAAAATGGAGGATTATTACATTATAGAAGAGCCATTAGCCCAATGTCTGCCAAACCACTGAGAATCATAGCCTAACAAAGTTGACATATAGCATTAACCATCACACCTGTTTTAAGAAAGAATCTCAACTTCCTCCCTTGTTAGAAATTTATCTAGGAGTCTGCTAGCAAAAGTCACCAAGTGACTTTTAGCTATGTTTCCGTTTTCACCATTTATGTTATAAGTTGGAGAGTGTCTTAGTCTCTTAGTGCTACTGTAACAGAAATACCACAAATGGATGGCTTTACAGAACAGAAATTTATTGTCTCACAGTTCAGGAGGCCAGAAGGCTGAGTTCAGAGTGTGGCTGTATGGGAAGGTCATTCTTTGTCTATTTCAGCTTCTATAGTTGGCAACTTTTGTAGTTCCTAGGCTTATAGTTTCTTCTGCCTCCATCATCAGATTGTATCTGTATTCCCCCTTTTGTTTTTGCTTGTCTCTGTGTCAGTGCTGCTCCTTATAACTCAGAAGTGTTTAGGTTTAGAACATGCCCTACACCAATATGGCCTTATTAATAAAACAAAACTCTAGTAAAAAATGGAATCACATCCACAGATATAGGAGTCAAGACTCTGAAACATCTTTTGTTGTTGTTGTTGTTGTTATGTGCCGTCGAGTTGGCCCCGACTCATAGCGACCCCTTCTTGGGTTTCCGAGGCAGTATCACTACGGAAGTAGGATTGCCCAACCTTCCTTCTGAGGAGTGGCTGGTGGGTTTGAACTGCCAGCCTTCTGGTTAGCAGTCAAGTGCTTTAGCCACTATGCTACCAGAGCTCCTTGAAACATCTTTTGGGGAGACACAATTCAACCCATAACGGATGATATCCTCATTTACTACTCTTGATTTTGGTATGGCCTGGAACAAGTACAGGGAGTGGTAGGATCTCCTGATTCAGTCTTGAAACCCCTCAAGAGTGTGAGTGGGTCTGATGTGAGGACACTGTGTATTGTAGAATTGGCTGTAGAGCATGAGTTCAGGATGATCTCCAGGGAAAGTCTGTGAGTCAGGCAAGTCTGGCTGAGTTTTCTGCTGTAGATGCTATTCCTTGTACTGCTTTCTCATCTCCACTGAAGAGGCACACCCCATGTGGGCTGTCCCTGTCAGCTGTGATGATGCTCTCACCCCCTGTAGCACTGCAGCACTGCCAACCCTATGTGAAGCATCCTGCCAGTACCCTCTACATGTTGTCTTCCATCACATGGTTCACACCCACAGACCTTGAAACACTCTGTCATCCCAATGTGCAGGAGCCTGAGCCCGCTAGTATCACCCTGCCATGGTTACCTCTTGCAGTTTGTACTGTGATATTGGAGTCATTGGAACCAGAGTGCCAACTGGGCTGTGTTTCATAAAGCAAGGGGTTGTCTCTTTTATCAACAAGAAGGCTCATTTCATAGCTGTGGATTTCTCCCCTTTTGTCTCCTCAGAAATTGCAGGTGCTCCAGTGTCTGAAATTTCTGGGCCTTTCTCAACAGACGACATAGCTAGCAACTGTGTCCCCGCCCTCCCTCTCAATGAGCCCATTCTCTGGATCGTCTCCTATTCACTCATGAGCGTGTGTGGAATCATCCTTCTTGTCTTAATCATCCTGCTGCTACTTCCGTTCCGGTGTCGGCATCGGCCCCACGACCCCGAGGTTGTCAATGATGAGTCCTCTCTGGTTCGGCATCGCTGGAAATGAACCCAAATCTACACTTGGGTGACCTTGAACTCAGCCATGATGAGAATGACGTCTCAATGCAACAGGCAGGGGTATGAGGACCAGGCTTCCTCCTGTATCAACAAGTCTTAAATCACTATTCTGCTTCCAGATGCCTTCCAGATTCACTGTATTTTGATTCTTGATTTTAAAGCTTCCTCCTTCTCCCCTGCTTCCAAGAGAAATAATAATAATAATAATAAAGAAAGAAAGAAAAACATCTCTTTCTAGACCAAAACAGAGTGAATTGGACTTCAGGCTTTATGCAACTGATTATGCCAAAATGTCTAGACACGCCACTGAAAAATGCAAGCCGTGGCTCATTCTCTTCTCTCAGATTGCTGGAGAAAGTGCATATAGTTTGTAACACCTCTTAGTTATGGGAGGCCTTTTATACTAATTACATTTAAGGATATTTTACACTAGATCTCACCCCAGATCAGTGTGGGAGGAGAAGGCTTGCAGTATAATGGCAGGAGAAGAAGCTAGCATGCTGCTCCCTTCTGAGTCAGAAACAGAGCAGTAGCCCTTTTCATGGATCTCTTCTTTTTCTCTGTGCTCTGAATGGGAGCTAGGACCCACTAAGAGCTCATCCCCTGACAGTGCTCACCAGCTTCTTCTGAAGACAGACAGCCTTTACTTATTGTGGTAGAGTGGGCAGGAAGCCTATCCTTTTGTGCCCAATGTTTCTGAGTGTCATTGGTGTAAAACTGAAAACCTACCTCTGTTGAGACTTTGCCCAGGGTGCCATGCCTGGGTGGGGTGCAATAGCCTGGTTGCAGCCATTGCCCTCACTTAAAAGAACCATCATTCCAGCAGGCAAGATGTCACAGGTGCTGAACCGTGCATCAACCCAGAAACATTCTGTCACCCAGCTGGTCATTATCACACATGCTTACTCTTAAAATTAATAAGTAGTGTCTTAAGGAGGAAAAACAAATTATATTTCACTAGTTTGGTTATGGAGTCCCTGGGTGGCACAACAAGTTAAGTGCTTGACTACTAACCAGAAGGTTAGTGGTTCAAACCCACCTACAGGCACCTCAAAAGACAGGCCTGGAGATCTGCTTCCAAAAGGGCACAGCCTTGCAAGCCCTACAGTGCAGTTCTACTCTGTAACACATGGGGTCACTATGAGTCAGAATCATCTTGACAGCAGCTAACAACAATGACATTTTGGTTGTTTTCCTTTCCAGATCTTCTCTAGGGATAGATTGTTACTACTCTGTTGGGAAATAGGGAAATAGTTAAATGCCCGTACTTCTGACCAGCTGTCAGAGAAAGAAGATGAGGGGCATGAAAAGAAAGCAGAGGGAACTGTGCTTGAAGCTACATCTTTGCATTCGCAGAACCCTCTGGGCTCAAGCTCACCCACCCTAATCATTGTAAACAAGTCTGCTTAGCAGTGGATCTACATGCTCCTTCCCTTTGGCATGTTCAGTCTTTGGTAATGAATTGAGTGCACAGTGGTATCCTTATATGGGGAAATCCCACTTGGAAGTGTTGTTTGAGGCCTTTGCCAAAGAAAAGTGTAAGCCTTTAACTTGATGTAGCCAGCCTCCCATGATCTGATGTAATTTGGAGAGGGGTTCAAAGCCAATATCCCCCTGCCCATGGTTGTACACCAAGTTCAGTGTTCTCTTTGCATTGCTTTTGGAATGGGATGGACATACAAATAAAATGCCATTGAAAGGGCTAAGCATTGTTTACCTGCTCTGACTGGAATGTCATTTCTGTTTATGTGTGTCTTTCAGCTATCTTCTCTGCTCATAGTCCTTGGGAAGTGACAGCAGTTAAGTGCTTGGCTACTAACTGAAAAGTTGGTGGTTTGAATCCATCCAGAGGCACCTTAGAAGAAAGGCTTTGTGATCTAATGCCAAAAGATCACAGCTTTTAAAAACCCTGTGAAGCACAGTTCTGTTCTGACACACATAGGGTCACCACAATTTGGAGTTGACTGGACAGCAACTAGTTTTACTTGTTTTGCTCACTCTATTCCCCTATACCTCCATATTAAGAATGATATGGCAGTTCTGAAGAGACAGGGAGGCCACTTCCACATGTCATGGTATCTTCACAGACTCTCCAGCAACCAAAGGGTATCTTCTGTGAGCTTCTTACGAGAGTTGATATGAGTTACATCTTGGAAAATTAATCTTGTGTGCAGTTCATCCAGGTTCGATGCCCTCTTGGGATAGTATGGAGAGAGGAGATTCTGTTATCTGATGCTCATATCACTTCTGGTGATATGAGCTAGTCAAGAGCTGATCTTTTTAAAATACATTTCTGAGTAAGAACTCTGTGGAAGTCTAGTTCTCTTGTCTTGTCGGCTTATTCATTGACCTCTGTTTTGTGGACCACTTCATGTAGAAATGGGGTCAACATCCCTAGATTGTGTTCTTCCCTTACCGTGAAAAATACTACAGACCCCTGAAATGAAAAGAAGCCACAGCAGGTCTGACTTGGTTAGTTTTTCTACTTATTCGTTATGCAATCATCCTGTTTCATTTTATCGCATTAGTTTTCTGGATGGAAAATATTCCTGTTGCAGCAGATTAGCAGGCACTGCTCCCAGCGTACATGATAATAACAAGTTTCGTCTCAAGTTAGGGTATTTGAATGAATTTGCTATAATGCTTTGTATTTCATATCAAATTTCTCCACCTTTTCATCTCAGATGTCATTGGATGTGACATTTTAATGGAAATAAATTACAAAGGCATAACTTAGCAACAGGATGAAATAGACAATTGAATATGGTACATTTTTCTGGCATGCCTTGCTGCCAAAAATTGGACTTTGAGTCAAAACTCTGTTAGTGACACCCACTAACAGCCCAGTTGAGTTCTAAGTGTAAATTGATACTTAGCTTGGCAAACATTCAAGGAGATTTGCTCTGAAGAGGAGGAAGTAGCAACCCTTTGAGGGTGTCATTTTTACCTTGTGATGTGCTGTGGAAAATACTGGAACACAGTCCTTTCCTGAAACACGTAGCATAGCATGAAGTTGTTGTCAGAAACCTTGTCAGCTCTCAAAAGGGAAATGGATGCTCCTCCATTAACAACATTATTTTAAATAGAACAGTGCTTTATGTTCTTGATCACTTATTTGGAAGCCTGAAATGAAATCCTGCTTTTAGTAACTGAAACTGCTTATATACATTTAAAAAAAAAAAAAAAAAAAAATTACAAGAAATGGGAAGGATTAAATCTATATTTTTCCTTAGAAATTCAAAAGAACCACAAACAATGGATGACAGGTGATTTGCACATAATACACTATTTCACATATCTTGGGAACCTAAAACAAAGTACCTGGCACTAAAGAAACTGATGCCTGGTGTGTGACAGCAGGAAATGTTCCCCTGAACTCATTCCAGTCCCAAACACTTGGCAGGCCTTTGCCTGACTCATTGTGAGATGCAGAGGTTTCTGTTGGAGGGAAAATTGAGGTCAGTTACAGTTCAAAATTACTGAAGTAGTTCTCTGCAACATAGTTTTACCAAGTCCACAGAGCTCTGGATAATCGATTTTGAAAATCAGTCGTGATTTGGAGATGCCATTATCTCATTTGAGAGGTGAAGAGGGATTATTTAAGTCTTTACTGGGGCTCTGTGCATGAATGACAATTTGTTGAATCACTTTTGCCAATTCCCTGCTTTGTGGAACTGCCAAGTAAGGCTGAGTTCTAAGTTCTGGCCTCGTGCCACTTAATGTCGTTGGGAATAAATCACTGCCAGACAGCCTGTTTCATGAAAAAAAATAAAATAATTGAGTTTCATAGACTTTTAACCTTATTAGTGGAAACCCAGTAATTGGGTGGAATCCCAAAGTGTTTTACATAAACTTATAATTGATCATAGAACTTTTCAGCGGAAAAACTTGCTGCTAAAAATTGTTTTAAAAGAAGACAAGCAGACTCCATAAAATGTAAAATTATGGTTTTTGCCAAAAGAGAGATTAGATTTTGGGTGCCAAGAAAACTCCACACAACAGAACTTAACTGTGTACATTTCTAATGTTTCCAGATACTCAGATTTGGATTAATGACAGTTTATCAATTAAATAGCAAATTGAAAAATTGTATTTTGAGAGTGGGGAAGAAATATAAAGTTACAACTAAGGCTGTACTGACAAAATAAGCAGAATTAGCTCTTTGGTAAAGTATCTTTGATTGCAAGTAGTCTTTATTTTATTTTATTTTTTTATTTTCATCTTTAAAATTGCTGAATCAATTGGAAATGTGATTTATTTTAAGAATGTTCAACATGGAGTCAGGTGTCAGATGTCAACATTGAAAAAGGAAAAATAAAATGTGGCCTATTGGACTTGGCATTGACCAGCCTGTGAGTACTGGTTAATTCAAGGAATGGAGGGGAGAGAGCTTGGGACAAAGTCTATAACCTGGGAAGGGAAGTGGGGTAAAAAAGTTATATACTTCAATCAGCTGATGGCCACAAAGGTCTCAATGAACTGAAACATTTTCAGGATGCCATAGGCAATTCATTTCATCAGAGTTTTTAGCACATCCTGCTTTTTGGGAAAGGGATAGAATTCTTTGCTTCCGTGTGAGCCTTTGGCCTGGGTTCGATTCTCTGCCAATTCACCTTGTGCAACCACCATCTCTCTGTCATTGAAGACTTATGTGTTACTATGAAGCTGAATAGGTTTTAGTGAAGCTTCCAGACTAACACAGAGTAGGAAGAAATGTCTGATGATCTACTTCTGCAAATCAGTCAATGAAAATGATGGATCACAATGATCCAATCTGCTTCTGATCATAGGGATGGTGCAGGATTGGGCAGCATTTTGTTCCAAGGTACATGGGATTGCCATGAGCCATGGGCCACCTCAGTGGCCCTCAACTAACAACTTTTTAGGAGCTTCCCAATGAAGCTGTCTGGTTTCATAATTTGTCAAAGAGGTCATTAGGCGAAGAGAAACTTGCTTTGTGTACCATAGTTAGAATATATCTATTTCAACATAATCAGAGATGCCTGAGCTCCCTAGAAGGCAAAGTCCCCCACTGAAGATTCAAGGTCATGCAGCAGTGGAAGTTCATAGGTCAGGGTGAAGAGGCTGAAGCCAAGGGTGGTTGGTGAGATTGTCTTTGAGTCTGAGCAGCTGAGAAGGGTCCCTGGCAACAGCTGCCCTGATGGTCACATTGAAAGCCAGAGCAAGTAGAATTGCCAGAT